AATCAGAGCCATACATTGTACTGAATGTACTGTTTTATATATATTTTCCACTATATGAAACCCAAAGTTGTATTTAAGAAATACGTGACAACTGCATCTGTATGATACCAAAACATTTAAGTTCCCACCATATATAGCACCATAATGTTCTGGCAAGCTCTGTTGGAAGAAAATAATGTATAAAGCTGCTACTGATGCAGGCAGAAGTGGCCAAGGAAACAAAAATATGGATCAGGAAGAAAGGCTGAGATTGGTAAGACAAGACTGTGGTGGCTGCTGCATGGAAACATGAGGAAATAAGGATAGAGGGATGGCCACGAGGGCAAGAAAAGTAAGAATGAGAAAAACTGGTCAGACAGAGGACTGGTCGGCAAGCCACAAGGCAGAGGGATAGGGCATGCCTTCATTTAGACTCAAGGATAAATTCTCTAACTGTTGAGGAGTATGCGAGAAACACAAATCCGGTTCTGCAAATTCCTATGCACTATCAGTAACCACACAAAACAAGCAAACCAAGCAGTATCAATATTTTCAGAAATTCAATTAAATTACAAGGGAAATGATGTCTGCACCAAGAAAAGATATTCTGGACATCATTATGCTTTTCTTGGAACGCATTCATTTAGAAGATTAGAAATGTAAAATTAATGACATTGTAGGAAGATAAGCAAACAAGTGTCAACTTCTTCCTAGCATAGTGGCAATCTCTTCTACAGTTGTTCAAATTGTGGGGTTTACCAATAATTTTTGAAACTTGTGACTATTTATCAATAAATGTGATTGTTAATGAAATATTGTGTTATATGTGTAGCAAATATTTACAATGTCTTCAGAATCAGGTCAGTCAGGAACTGCACCCATGCTTTCCTGATCCCTTACAACCTTATCCAGAAGGACACAGACTGTGCTGGATCTGTTATCTGGGTTATTTGCATGATTTTTATAAACCTTTTTTTCATACTATTTCGAACATTTGTGACAAGGTATCATTGCTCTATAAACATTAAATATATATATATATATTTTTTTTTTCAGCAACTTCTGAAGCCCACTCTCTTCCCAATGCTGAGCACCCATCTACACTTGCTAGCACCAACTTTGGCCTCACAGAACTCCAGAGGAGGAAGCGCACGTGAGAATGTGCGGAACACGGAAGATGATGATGCCTACACTGCAGTCTGGGGAGGGGACTGGAGACAAGCAGAAATCCCCACCACCTGGAAGACTTCCAAGTCACCTCTGAGGGAAGTGATGCTTTGGCTCCCAAAGAGCAAGAGCCAATATACGCAGTTCTCTATATAGAAAATCATCTCTACATCAGAACAGTTTGTCCTTTCATTTCATATGTACGTGTAATAATAAGGACAATAAAGATAACTGTAAAACTATTACTAAGAGGTACACATCTGGCTTGCGATAAATGTGTGTAGACTTTCTGTGGCTGGGGCAGTGAAGCTTCAAACAGTGTAATTAGGATTGAAGTTAGTAAACATTTTTGTGAGAAATTTGTAGGGGGAGGAGGATATTAAGCGGAGCCTAAAACATCCATCTGGAGGAGAAAAAAAAAAAAAAGGCATCTGGAAAAGAAAGGCTCTTTTGTCTGGCAAAAAACTCCCAAGAAATACCTCCTCCTACGAAGGACATACTGTTAATGAATCTTCAAAGCATAGCTTAAAATGGCAAGATTATGTACCTTACCCATGTAAGTTATATCAGTACCTAAAGTAAAATGAGATATACAAACAAAAGCACTTTTTAGTGCTATTATTTTGTTTATATGGAGATCTTTTCCTGAACTAAAAACTTCACAAATCATCCTGTAAGTCGTATGCGCAATAACGCATTAACTATGGACTAGACCTTAGATTAGGAATAACAGGTTTTATCTAAAACAAGTTGCTTTCATAGTTAATGTGAAAACAATACTAAAGAAGAGTTAAAATGAATCCTGCAATCTTTACTTAGTTCAGAAGCCCTCTCATTTGGCTAAATTCTGCTTACAAAAGAACAAGCAAAAATACTTTGCACAAATAGCAGCCCAATTAGTGCTCCTCCAATCTTATTAAGAGTCTTGCCTAAGTAAACCGTGATCTCAACATGCAAAATTTAAAACTCAAATGTTAGTTTATAATAAACAGAGCTGCTCGGAAATACTGTGAGCAACAATAAAAGGCCTGGCGGTATTTTTATTTATGTATGCGTTTTATTAGGAGGGTTCAAAAAGCATCCAGTGAACACCCAATATCAGCAGTGTTCTCTCCCAGGGCTAGCAGTGATAGCTCCTCACTCAGCTTTTCTGCATTATCCAAAAAATATCCTCTCACCAGCCACTTTCAAGCTAGTGTTTGTCCTTCTAGAAAGAAAATACATATATATTCCCATGATATTTTGAGATATCAAGTTCTGTTATATCTTGAATCTCTTGTTATATCTGACCTCTCATCTTTTCAGTACTTGGGATTTCAGGAAAAAAGAACAATCTAAAATAAGTCTAATTCAGTGAATTTCAGTCACAGAAGAATTCTGGTTCATTTAAGTTCAAATCAGACATTCCAGTTTATGTTAACGCTAATGAAATTCAGACAAACTACTCTGGCTGCAGGCCCATTGACTTCTGGCTGCAGAGTACACACAGCTGGATGTCTGTAAATCGGGCAGGACTGCATTTCTGCATATAGGTTAATGACTGTTCTGCGTCATCAAATATAAGAGTACAGACAGCAAGCCAAAGATCTCAAAACAGCATTTTGTCTGACTGGCAACTTTCTAGTAAAAACAAAGCTTATTTTTCTGCCTGTATCATAGTGCATGATGTGAATATTAACAAAGTAGGCTGCACTAAAGCAAAGAGGGAAAATTATATCTGCATTCATCTACAATGACTAAAGCTTATAGCTACACATTCACTTTAATCCATCACAGATTCATGCCGATACTAAAATAATCACTTCCATCTTTGTCAGCTTGTTCTCACTGCCATCATCGGGCTGGCAGAAGGATTTGGGAAGACACAGAGTGACGTGAATAAATGATGCAATAAGTTTTTTTCTACGAACAGTGTGTTGTGTCAAACTAAGATGTTTAATTATGGATGATATTTTACATTGCTATAGTTCATATTTTTATAAAAGAAAACCAAAGATGAGGTTAATCAGTATGTGTTTCATTCTGCAAAGGAAATGCATTCAAATTATTTAACTCAGCAAGTACAGTTTTAAATTCAGTTCTGCTCACTCTCAAAAACCTGATGCTAAGAAAGTCCCTCCTTAATAAGCCTAATAAATATAGTCACCTGGAAGATTAATGCCAGCACAAGGAGAGATGCAAGGAAGGCAGGAAGACTGCCTGCACAGAACCGCCACATAATGCTGAGTTTAGGCGAAGGTTCAACTATTGCTTAACATCCTTAATTCAACAACTTTTTAAGTCAGTCATGAAAGAGGGGCTTGAAACTTTAAGAAAAAATGGACAAATCCCATCTTTTGACTATTTATGATAAAAAATTTTGTTAAGACACCTTGCAAGAGCTACTTTGCAGCTACAACTGCAGTAAAGTGGTTGGCTGAAAAAACTTCATGAGCACCTTCACAGAAATGCATGTTAGATTATTTCCCCCTCCCTGAATAAGCATCATAAGGTAAAAAAGCAGAGCAAACTGAACAACTAGAAGCAAATTCTACTTAATTTAAGATTCTTGAACTTGATTCTTGAAATACTATTCAAATCATTCATTCAGTTTTTGGATGAAGATCCCTGAGCCAAACTACAAAGTATACTTCAAACAAGTGATGATTTCCTATAGCAGTTCTGAGTAGTTTATAGAAAATCATCACTTTCACTGAAATATAGTTCTGCAAAATGAGTAATACTTTTCTGGTAACAAAGTATTTTCACTTGTATCTGTAAAAAGCTTTACCGTGATTCATTCACTTGATCGGTAACAGCCTTTTTCTGACTGCATATTATAAATGCAGTCATTTTGCAGTACTCCTACTAAGTTTGGACTGTAAAACAGAAAAAGTAGTAAACAGTCTACTGATGTGCATTTACTCTTTTCCTGTAAAAGTAACCTCTTTACACCAGAGAAAACGTTCCACAACCTTAATACCAGGTGTGTAGTTACCACCACTGAAAATCTAGTTGGTTATATCCTCTTCTGTCTCTTGCCCACTATTTTCTTTCAGCAATTAGCTAAAAGCCCTTTAGCAATTTGCAATAGTCCTTTTATTTAAAGTTATCACCAGAGCTTAAAATGCCAACTTCTTGAAAGTCAATTAAGATCAAAGCACACATGGAGTAACAGGGCTTCTTTCCCAACCTTCCTGGAAACTCTCTTGTATTTTACCTTAAACATTCCAAACAATTTTTAGCACTGCCTGAAAATTAATGTTTGCACACAATCACACATAACTCAATATTATTGCTAATCCATAGATCTCCTTACAAGGGAAAGTTTCCATGGTCCTACAAGTGAGGGTTTACCCCCACAGTAACCCAACACACACACCTTCAGATTTCAAGTCACTGCCTATAACCTGTGGGACAATGTGCCGCACTAACCTAGCATACGTTGGAATCAGGAACTCTTGAGATGGAGCACCCAATATCTTACTGAGGGTGTTTGCGTCCTGCTTTTACCATGTAATCTTCCCTCTGAATTTGCCAGTTTTAGATGCAAGAAGCCCAAAATTACATTCTCAAAACACACACTTAGGTAACAGATATTACAGTTCGGTTGGATCTCATTGGGAATTACGATTACTAGACTGAACCTCACAAAACAAATACTGGTATATGCAAATTCCAAATGTCTAAAGGCAGAAAAAATAAAAAGTGCTAATTTCTTTTGCCTTTCAAAAATAGTGGAATCAACACATACAAACTATAACAGGCAAGTTTATCCCTTCCACCTCCCATCAAAAAAGATTTTCGTTTGAAACCTGCAATTAAGAACTGAGCTATTCAAAGTCAAATATTTAATTACAAACAGTACACCTTACCTTCCTGTCTGTTGTTTTTCCTTTTTAGCCATTTTTCCACAGTTTCTGCACTCACACTTTCTGATACAAATTCATCCAGTACCTGGGGGTGAAGAGAAAGATAGGCCTTCACTTTCTCATCGGTTAAACCTGCAAAAGAGAATATTAATTTATTAATTATACCATTGCTATAACAATCTTCATATGACATAATACAGAGAGCCCAGTGTTTACCAGCGTCCTGTTGTTTAACATGCTGATAGAGCATATGTCTGTTTAAACTCCCCAGAAGGAGCAGTGCTTCAAGTATAAGCAGTGGTAGAGACAAATATATCCATATAAGATACTGTGTGCATAAAGTCTCCTGTGGGAGTACAGAACTTTTTCCTGGGAGAAATGGACAGGAAGAATTTGACTTGAAAAATAGATGACGCAACCAGGGCAAGTAGGCTAAATAGAAAATGAGTAAGTGCCTTGAGATTGTAACAAATGGGAAATAAAAAGCTGCTTGGGATTTTTTGGGCCATTATGTATGTATTTATTTGCAGGATAGGCTAAAGGATGTGTCACCACAGACAGTTCGTAGAACAAGACTGGGTGGAAGGAGATAGTAGAAAGTAAGTAGCAAATCTCAGCGCAAGCAAGAACAAAAGCATCAACTATGATATAGCATCAGAAATCAAGTTCAAATTTTAAAAGTACTGGACTTACTTATGTCAATTTAGAAACAGAAACAGAGTATTGACATACGAGCTTCCATTGCCTAGCAAACATCCAATTATCAAAATAAAATTAATCCTAAAGGCCTTTGCAGCAAGAAAAAAAACTAACGCACACTTCAACTAACGAAGCACAATTCAGGCTCTCCAACTGCCAGTATAAATATTATTAATTCTCGATTTCATAAAACCACAAAGTTTATTGTACTTAAAATCATCATACATAAATCATACATAAATCTACCAAAACAAAACCACCAGTCTCGGGAATATCCAAGCACCTCTACCCAAATTCAAGGGAGAATAGGAAACCAGTGCAACTGTCCTGCAAGAGGGAGAGTCACAATTTCAGATTTTTCAAACAGCACTGAGCTTTTTAAGAGGAAATTTATGTTAAAAAATAACCTTTTTTTTCTCTATTTTATGCTTAGCATATTTCAGAATATGCTGGAAATAACTATGGCGTATTCAAATGCTGGTAAGAAATTTCATCCTTGAAGCTGTTTTATAATTTTCAGTATGAACACACTGAGGCAGTAATACCAAAGAACCAACCTCAGACTACTTTCCTGCACGGCACCTGCCCCATCTCATTCACATACCCACTGTCACAAACTGCCCTCAGAGGTCCTAACCAGTTTTAAATAAGAGTCCTCTTAATCAAAGTAGGTTGCAGTTCCAGATAGATATCATAGTCTCCAAGATCAACTTTCCCCTATTTAGGCAAAATTTTCCAGTTCTGGGCCGTTTGAATTACGTAACTAGCTCAGCATCCTGATTTTTGCCAGCAAAGAAGGTTTTTTGTTTGGTTTTCCAAATCAAAAGTTAAATAAAACACATCATCATCAAAAACAAACAAACAACAAAAAAACTATTTTACATGTCTAACCTTAGACAACAGTGAACTTAACTTTATTGTGTATGTATTCCTATTTCTTGACTTAAATGGAAGTATTTATTTGATTCTAACTTTTATGGGATGTGCTCTTTGCAGTGCAGATGGTAAAATTCACTAAATTGTCAATTTTGGAACTAAGTCTTCCATCTACACTCCACCAGTCTAATTTACATCCCAAGCATCCTGCAATTTCAGCAACCTGAAGGTGAAAGCTCTGCTTTAACCTTATATGGAAAGGTGATCCATTGAACTCATAAAAGAAATCCCATGATAATACTTAAAGCACCCTCCTTTATTTCACTAAAGCAATCTGTGCAGATGTGCTTTTTCAATTGCAGGTTTTTAGATGGGAGTGAGCCGGACAGAATTTAAAACCACACTTGCATAGTCAAAAAAAATTAATAATAATGCAATGCTCTACATAATGAAACAGATTTGTGTGCCCTCTCCTTTGGTCTACTTGATATAAAAATACATAGTACAGCCACACACACACACAAACGATGGCTAGCTCATTTTTCTGTTAAAACAGTCAAGTAATGACTAGTATGGTAAGGTATGAGAAAGTATCTAGGACAAGAAACTTTTCTACAGATATTTAAGTTAGAAAAAATTCTCCACTGCTTTCTTCTCATCTGAAGCCAAAACACGTCGCAGATACTAAATTAACAATTTATTAGCCAGAAATGCCATTTCCTGCAGGCTGGGAAGTCCTCGCACACGCAACGCCAGCTCCCTGTATGCACCAGGAAGCCTCCTGCGGGCTCCGGGGCTGCCAGCCCTCCTCTCACTTTGCTCATCAGCTCTGGCAAGGGCCACAAACAAACATATCAGTATCACACAAAACAAAAAGGGGTAACAGGTAACACATTCAAAAGCGTGTTGATGTCTTCTCACAAATTGTTTAAACCCCAACTCCCCTCATTTCTTTTAACCTAACTACAGAGAGCATTTCCTCTCCTAGCCGAGGAGGGAGCAAAGTTTCATAGCTGGCTTCCTTCAAGGCCCTACTGCACGGCCCAGTATTTTTGCCAAGACGGTTCCCTTTCCCGGGTGCAGCTCTGTCCTCTCGCAGAGCCATGGTGGTTCCAGGAGGGACCGCGCTCAGGAGGGCTGAGCTCTGGCCAGCAGCTCCGCACGCACCCGGCCAGGGAGCGCACGCAGACCGGAATGACTTTCCTTCTTCGGGGAATTAGAGAAGGAATCGCGCATTTTGGTCACCTGACCGTTCAGTCCATTTGCACATTGGAGTTTGCTTTCCTGATTCATACAAATCCGGTTTCATTTAGAAAGTATACACATATGTGCACAGACACACATGCACACTACAAACTTCCTCCCTCACATTCGTATTTTTCAGTGATAAACCCAGGTTTCTGCGCTGATATCTTTTTGGCACAACTCACACAGCTACGCACGTTACCTATTTGTTCTGGATTTGGGATTAAATAACGAGCATTGAAATAAAAATACAACACAAAAGGATACACGCATATCAGATAAGCGCTTCCGTTCTTCATTTCCCTCAGAACAAACCGGGGGCAAAGCGGCCGCTCCGCGCGGCCTGCGCTTGTGCTGGGTCAGCACTGCCGGCTTCCTGCCCAGCGCTGCTGTCCGGGTTCCCTTTGTAGGGCTCAACTCACCGTGTCCTCTCTGGCCATGCCATCTAGTTTATACAGCTAACTCGGAGGCACGGAAAACATTAATCAAGGCTTGCTCCACTACAGGTATTTTTTCCATTTCTTGGCTGCCCTTATCTTAACGGTAACTTGAAATACATCTACGTATGATTGGTTTTAGGCAAATGATATAAAATTAGCAAAACTCTGTACAAAGCAGAAGGTAGAAAACAGGCTGTCCCTTTCTAACATCGCCCAAGAGGCAACGCCTCCATCAGTAAGACATTTTTATTGCTAAATTGGAATAAACTTTCTCACAGGAGAGTCATTCTGTGATTTTAAGAGTGTTAAGGGAGAATCAAATGACAGAAAAGAAACAGTTATACTTACTTCTAATGTTTTTATAGACTGATTTATTTTGGTCAGAGGTATAAGTGTCTTCTACCGAATAAACTATAGGCACATTCCACTTGGCATTTGCCTGAGGCCTCAGCTATTCATTTATTTGGCACACTTTGAACCAATTTATCAAATTATTGAGGGATTCTTGTGTCGGCCTTAGGTGGGGCAGGTATGGGAGATTTTTTTTAATTCATAAACCTCATCACTTACTTGTGACAAATCAGTAGCTGAGCTGGACTGTCTCTTCAGTGGCCTTGTGCCTATTCCTTTAAAAAAAACGGCTTCAGTTTCATTAAGGAGGGAGGAATAAGGAATCCTTAACCTGGGGATAGCAGGCAAGTTTAGCAGAGCTATTCAAATGGCAATGGATTTTCACATAGTTTCTGAACTGCCATATTATTCCTTTATTCTAACAGGCTACCAGAACTAAAGCATCTAGATTTCAATAATATAAGTAGGATTTGGTTCTTTTTGCTAATATTTATAATAAAAGCTAAATAAAAACCACCCACTCCCTCCATCACAGCTAACAACTTCTAATATGTCTATATTTCTGTATTCTGTATCTCATGCAAAGCTTAAGTACTGTAAACTGCTGGGTTTAGTGAAAAGACAGGCTTCTAAAGCCTGGATTCTTCTTTTCATCTCCCAGCTTACATGTTATTTACACCATCACTGCCTTGGTGATAATGGCAGGTGGAACCTAAAATAGATTAGCTGAGTTCACAGCGGAATGTCCTACGGTCCAGCATGAGCCAGCCAACAGTTTTGTAAGTCACACAAATAAAATCTGTAATGCTTTCTATTCTGCCAACAATGACGAGAGAAAACTAGGGGACCTGTTACTGCAGCCCAGCAGTGGATCATTTCACTGCTAGACTAGCAGTGCTCAGTACAGCTGTTTGCAAAAGTGCTTTCTCTTGAAATCAGTTGAGACACAGACACTTACCTACTTTATACCAGGTCCCCAAATGAATTAATGCATCAGCCACAAGACTTCATCAACAGTAAGAATGCGGGCACAGCAAGATCTCCTTCCAATATTAAACAAAAGTTGTCAACTCGCACCTCTGCAAGCTATTGTTACACCAGCAAACATTCCTGATGTAAAACTGGCCTTCCAAAGCAACAAACTAACTTTGACACAGGGGCAGTGAGCAAAAGCTGTAGTCAATGTTCCAAGCAACAGTTTGCCCACTGCTTTGGGCATGAAAACAGCACTACCACAACTGTCAGCCCCAAAGCTAACTGCAGCTTTTTACTTTTACAGAATCTAAAACATGCATTCTTATAATCTACCCGATAAAATCAGGCACCAGGCATTCTCTGGGAAAATTGATGTTGGTATTTCGTAAGTAGTCCAGAACCTCAAAATAGAGGGCAAATCTCTTTCCCCTGCTATTGCACAGCCAAAAAAGAGTACAGGTATTAACACATCTATTTTTCAAGAAGCTTGAAATGAATGAACAGTTTACAAATGAAATGTATATTACTCCAAGTTTGAATAGCCAA